AAAGAACACGGAGCAGCAATCTGAATGTGAATTTCCACCATGCTGCAAGAAACAAAACCCTTTTCAGGACTGGCTCCATGCACCATATCCTACTTAACTCTTTCAATAGAAATCATTCTCTCCTGTATTCGTGGTAGTTTATGGACTTGCTTTCTGCAGCAGTCAACCACAAACAAAGAATCTTTACAGACCAGCTAAGTTTGACAAAAGCTGTAGAAATGCCTTCTGCAGATATGAAAACTTGCACCCGTCCAAGAGATTTTTTTTTACCTTAAAAAATGAATGCTGTCGTGAAAGGCAAAACAAAACAAAACAAAACAAACAAAACAAAGCACCCCCCTCCCCCTCCAAAATCCAAGCATCTATTTGTGTATGCAGTCTGTTGTGACAGCAACACACTGCATTACCAGCAGGGGCCTGGTCCTGGCCTCCTGCTCCACACTGGGCTTCATTTTCCTCCTGGGTAGTTCCCTAGATAACCCTCCTGCCAGGATTCAACTCTCTCCAAAAGCAGCCAGGGATGAAATGTCCAGATGCTGGAAGGAAGGGATGTGATAAAACACCCACGGAACTTAGGCACACATGTCTACCTTTGTGTAGACCGAGTCCATGTGGACCTGAACATGTGAGGCTTTCCAATATTCCTGCTGTGTGTCTTCTTTCAGATTGTCCATACACAGAGTACCCTACTCAGTAGATTATGGTGCACAATTAAAGTTCAACAAATAATGATTTTGGTAATGAGAATGCTGACCATAAAGATCATAATTCTGAATGAATAAGGGATGCCATTTATAATTATCATTCAGAATAAGCTTCCTCTCAGGGGAAGAGGTTGTACTCATTGGGAACAAGGACCACAGGGCAGTGGCTTTCCTCTTTGGTGGCACTATTCTGGTAATTTCAGTGAGTCTCAAAATGAAAGTCCATGGCTCACAAATCTAGTTTTATCTCACCACCAGCTCCAATTCTAGTAACCTTAGAAAACAGTTAAAAACTACAAGCCAAAAGTGCAGCAGGGTAAACAAATTTGATCTAGTAAGTATATGCAACGAGCTATTTGCAAAGGTCACGGCATCAGCCTTTGGTGTATAAATGCTAACTTGCTACATATTTCCTGTACTGGAGCGACTCAGGCAATTTTCTCCTTCCAATTTCAAAGCAGATATTCCTCCCTACTAGACACAGTGGGAGGCGAGGGAGGAACACATGAACATTGCCAGATTCCTTCTACTGACTATTGGCATTATTGTTGCTGCCACAGCATAATGCCACCCTTCTCATCACTCTCTCACCATGGCATTATCACCCACCCGACTGCCTCCCAAGAAAAGATGTGATGTCTTTCTTCAGACACCTTTCTACTGCTCTTCTGAGCCTTCAGAAATGGCTATCAAAAAGATCATCCCAGAGTAGTAGGAGTCGTGGGAGGGGGAGAGGGTAAGCTGTCCAGAGAAAAATGGCTGTGTCCCTTAATACTAATGAGGACAGGATGCAAAGGGCAGAAAGAACTTAATCAATAAAGGCATCTCAATCATGGATGCCATTATAACTCAGAGATAGATATCAGGAAATGTATTATAATTCAACCTCCCTACAGAAGCGCTGTACATGACATTTAATATGCTTCTATCTGACCCCAGGACACAGGGCGTTGCTCAAACTTTGCATAGAAATGGAAAGCTGGGCAGTACCCCAGGATGGAAGAACAGAATGTTCCTCATCGCACTGTCATTCAGCTTCCAGGAATACTGCACTTTGGTAGTGAGCAGCCATTCCGTGCAGAAGTTTACCACGATTACAACAGAGAGACTGTCCAAGTGTGCTAATGCTTCAGGAGGTATTGTCACTTAAGCTGGATCTTGCCCTCCTGATATGTCAGGCTGAAGAGGGAGGAAGTTAATAAGCATAAGACTGTTCTGATGTTTTAGGTGGGCAAACGTTGAATCAAACTTAATTGGCATCAAATAAAAAGGTGAATATCCTTTACTTAGATTTAGATCCCTGTCCTGGTTTTTGTAAGCTCTAGGCTTCCCAGGCTAACTGCTTTATGCAGAGCTTTTCGTCTCTAGTTTCATGGAGCGAGGATTCTTTCTGTGGATGTGATGTGCCTTCTGGATTTGGCTGGTATCAAGTAACATGAGATAACACTTCTCAGCTTTAAAATGATCCTGTAGGACAAAATTTCGATACATCTCTTTACCATCAAATCATATTAAAAATTGTAACGCTATTTGGGCTTTGTAATAAAACTGGTTCACATTAACAAATCAACTTTCAATTATAAGACTAAGTCTTTTTACTCTTATTAGTTTTACTATTATCTGTTCAGAATATAATTACCATTCTTCTAAGATGTATGCATAGCTTTAAAAACTTAGTACTGTAAGTACAAGGAAAAGAACAACTTTCAGCCAAAAACAATCAGTAAATAACTGTCAGATTTTTCTTTTTACATAGGTTGCCAAATGGCAACATGCTTTAAGGCGTAGAATGGGCTTTATTCTCTTTCAGACTCATTGCAGTTACAAACAGTACCAAATTTACACAAATGTAGCCAGAGCAGAAAACCAGTTGTACAGAGTGATTTCAGAGGTGTCCTCCCCTCCTCAGTCTGGTTGATTATTGAAATTCCACCATCAGCAGGCCTACATTTTAGCTCAAGGTTTTCCACTCAGATGGAAGGCAGATTTTCCATGGAGAGAATTTACATATTAGGATTAATGATGAATGTGAACACAGTTTTAATGTGTAGCACTGTGCGCCAGTAGAGGTAACACTTCAAAGAAAGGATGTGGAATGGGTGTGGGGGTTTGCAAACCACAGTCCACAATTCTGGCTGCTTACATCTTTCAGATACCACAGCACACTAGTGAATGTGGGAAAGACTACTGAAAACTCTAAGTAGCTACAAAAAAAGTTCTTATTCTAATGTCAGAGGACAAATTCTTGAATAGCCTGGGGACCAGTCTGAATACAAATGTTCTTTAGAATTTCGGGAAGTCTCAGCAAGTCTCTCTGAGGCAAGGAAAAGAAATGTGAAATACACTCGGTATTTAGTTTCAACCAGATTAAACCATTCACAAAGATAAAATGAGATATTTTAGTGGCTCTAGCAGCATCTGTCAACTAAAAGTTCACCTTAGTCACTTAAAGGCTAGCCAAACAGATCATGAGAAGTATGTACTGAGAAAAGTGGAATCGAACCTTTTCACTTTTGCTCCAAAAGACAGAGATTGTAAACAGAATACCTTCATGCAATGATAGAAAGTGAAAATAATGCATCCAGCCAGGAAAACTCCCTCAGAAGCACCTAAGATTTTGCTAGGAAGTGGAAAGCACCTGCTGTTGAACCCTGTCACCACCACCTTAAAAGGGCAGCATGCACTTCGTCATGGAGGTCCCTTTGCTTGCCTTTTCTTCTTGTATTTTCCCCATTCACTAGAAACCACCATTTACAAAAAAGCTCCTGCCCTCCCTGTTTTTCTTCCTCTCAGAGGTGTTGCACGATATGCTATTTACAGAAGAATCTGCCGTACCTTACAACTGATGCTAGTATTTTATTGATAAGCCACTTTCCTTCACACAATTAGTACTAATTCCTAATTTCTAACAATTGCAATTTGGTATGTAAATATTCCATGTCACTGTCAGAAGAGATGGAGACTGCATTACATTGCTTTACCTTGCAGGTGTTCTTTACTTTGTGAAATATGGACACTTGTGGGGGGAGAGGTACATCAGAACTTTATAAAATAGGTCATTGTGCATTAACTAAGGGAGCTTCCTATTAAAAGAGCGATTTATACCAAATTAAGTCTCTTCTGGTATTCATCAAAATTACCTAACATCAATTTTGTCAGTCTGCTAATTTTCACTTTTCAAGTAGTCTTCAAGCAGAATAAAAGTGTGCTGTTTGATTTACAAAGTAACATTCTTGGTTTCCAGGCTACTGACTTGGGGATTTCTGATGGTATTTTGAAACACCGTAAGAACTAGTTAGTCATATGAAATCAGTGTTAATACAACACAATAAAAGCGAATTCATCTGAGGCATGAATCATTTCCTCTTAATTACAAAACGACATCTCAGTGGATCAACTTAAGAATTCTGAAGGACAAGGAACAGCACGCTCAAAGGAAGGATTTTACTACCTCAAAACCTGACATAGAATCTTCTTTTCTTAAAGTCCATGAGAGTTTATTTGTTAAATGAAACCTATGAGGTAAACAACTAAATGTCTGAATAATCATGTCTCATAATTCCTTAATAAAGCTATTATTTGTTGAGATACAGTTCTCTGAACTGTGTTCCAGATCTCCAAGAAAGATATTTTTCATCAAATTCAGTACTATAATAGATGGCCTTTCAGAAGGCACCATAGGCCTGGCAGAGTCTGTTCTAGAGCTGATATTTCTGAACGAGATAAATGGGTTGGGGTGGGCAGTGGGGGTGGGAAATAAGGGGTAGAGAAGGGATTTACAAAGCAGGAAGCACATTTCAAAGTAATATTTACACTTTCAAAACAGACTTCTTTATTATTTGGACTTCATTGTGAGACAAGGAAAATCAAGTACGAATGGTATGTTCTCAAAAGATTTTTGATATATAATTGAATCAAAAAGAAAATTACTTTCTTGTAAATGATTCCCTACAATCTTTAATCTTTAGTTCCTCCAGAAACATTTTTTACTGGCAGTGCTTTTAGTCTGCTGCCCATTATCTGTGCTTTAAGATTCATGATTTAGTAAAACAAAAATCTTATTACCATGAAAGGCCATGAAGGGCTGGTTTTCTTCCCTGTGTATTTGAGCTACCCTCTTTGGCAAGTAGTATAATTAATGTTTTAGCATCTATATTCCTACTCTCTGTCTTTTATCATACTCTCTGCATTGAGAAGTATTAAACATGGCAATAATATTACATAATCACATCATTTTATGGTAAAATTCCCTTCTTTAAATATTAATTTAAATGTTTTAAGAAAACAAATTTCTACCTTTGAAGAAAGTCTTCTTATGTCAAGAGGTTGTTCTTCCTTTTAATTCTTTAAACCAAAGGTCTTCTTAGCATTGCTCTGTGGGTTGAAGAGCGAGGAAAATGTTAACAAGACACTGGTTGTCATCAATCACAGCAGATTGTCAATACATTAACTCCAACCGGCTCCCTGATGGGAAACACAATTACAGAGAGAGCTCTGCAAGGGAGACAAATTACGAGTAGATTTGCCAAAACATCTCTCTGCTGGCTTTAATCAGAAATGGCAGCAGATAGGTGACTAGAGCTCGGTGGACATACCATTAATGGACCCCAGCCTACAGAGTCACGTCTGGGTCCTCTTTTCAGTTTAGGGGAATAAAGAGGTTTATGTAATATATATATATATATGGTGTGGGTAAAATACTTCCTTACTGTGGGCTTATTATTATTATTAAAAAAATTTTTATTTAGTAGCATAGAAATTCCTTTGACTATGTTTGAAAGGCCTCAAAATTTCAAGGAGAGTCGTGAAAAGATGACAGGAACAGCCAAGATCTGAGGAGAAAGTTCCATCTGGGCCATGACAGAGGATCAGCTCTGGACAGCTCCTGGGCTCTACAATCTCCAACTCTCCTCTAGCCTCAATGTTTCCTTTGCAAATATTCCAGCTTCCAGAGAAGGGCAGCATGGATGGGGAGGAGAGCAATCACAGCTGAGCACATTAAGTTTCATTTTTTAGACAACTAATTCAGTGATACCCAAGGTTTTCTAAGGGAGGATTTGTGTCTTTTTGGACTTCAAATTTTTGGAAACAGAAGTCATACTGAAGTCAAACTGAAGGGTTTTTCAGAGACAAGAAACAAGTGTCAATTCAGGAATTTGGGCTGCACTCAAATATTAGAACAAGTATGAATTGCAAAATTATTCCATTAATAAAATAAAAAGATGTAAAATAATCTCAGCTGTTTTAGTTTATTCATGTGCTATAAAATATTTTCTGTATTAAATTGAAAAAACCCTTTATCTTAATTACATGTTAAAAGCACTCAATAGATTTTTGTCGGATCTGATGTGTGATATTTTATCAGGAGACAATATTAACGCTGTGGAGGTTAGTGATTCTTCTTTGGAATTGAAACCAACCTTATAGTAACAAAGATTTTTCTTTCCTTTTCATTCAGTTTCCACTTCAAAAAAACCCTCTGGAAGTACGTAGGAGAGAGTCTACAAGAATTTGAAGCTATGTGTATAATAACAATTCAATTCAACAGACCTATATTGATCATTTAAATCATTGGATAAATATAAACAAGGTGAAAAATCACATATAAATAAGACATGCTTCCTGCCATCAGGGATCTCAGTCCACATGCTGATGGGATAAACAACCATAACTCGCATGAATCACCATACAATGCAGTATTTATAGAGCATTGTGAGACCACAGAAGAAAGAACAATTAATTCTACAAGGGGACATTCAAGATGTTTTCCACAGGAGATACCAATTGAGTTGGACCTTAAAGGTGGGTAGGAAGGGCAGGCGCAAAGGAAGGGCCATGGCAAAGTGGGTGGTGTGTCCCCAGTAGGAGAGCAGTGACGTGGGAGGTGGGGAGTGTAAAAAGAGGGGAGGCTATACAGGTCATTCAGAACCAGAGTGCAAAGGGCAGAACCAGAGTGCAAAGGGCACTGAGCACAAACAATTCACGAGTCTGGACTTTACCTTGAGAACAATGTGGACCCATTGAAAGTTTCAGTAAAGAGGAAAGAAAATTTGTCAGTAGTGTGGGTGACTAAGGAAAGTTAGAGAATGGAAGCAGAGACTGGTTAGGAGGTGCCAACCTAGGAGATTCTTGGCTTATACAGGTAACGCGTCTCCTCCTTAAACCTACCCACAACAAGCACGCGTTTGACTCCTCCCCGAGATGAATCCGAATACACAGATGGAAATAATTTAAAGTTAAGAACGTTGATTGGGCCATGATATCTGATATGATTGTACATCCTTTTCTTTTACTAACAGAATAATTTTGTGATACTTAGTTGTCCTAATACGTGAGTGCATCTCTATAGGTGGAACTTTCTAAGGACAGCATGTGGATGTGGTCTTGTTTCTCTCTTCTCCACCTACCCACCTCCTTCCATCTTTCTACCATCTCTCTCTCCCAGAGCAGCTCTGCTCTGTGGTTCTGGCCATGCCCAGGACCCATGGCAGGTGGGTTACCTCAATGCAGTACTCGATGCCAGGGAAACCCTTTCTTTGGGTCCTTTTTCTCTGCTGTAGGATGTGTACTTTGGATCAATATTCCCCTTTACATTGCAGTGTTAATGTCTGACACTGGTTTGGGATTAAGGGAATCAGATCCTGCTAATGGTGTACTTGCTTCCGGGCCATTCAAATCAACCTCACTTAGGGAAAAGGAGCCTGTCTCCTCCTCCAGCCTAGCGTGAAAGAGCTCTGCACTGGGATTTGAGACAAAAACCTTAGCTAATAATACATTTTTACCTTGTCTTGCTGTGTCGATGTCCCAACTACAAGTATCTCTTTTGGGGACCTCACAGGAAGTTCATACTGTAAAAATTCTTGGGCCCCCCAGCTAAAACATACCACAATCCTTCATCTCCAAATAGTCATTCCTGGTAAGGCAGACATGCAACTCAAAAGGGTAGACTATTTCTTCTTCTTAAAGTATCTTTGAAAACAAATTTCTGTGTATGGCAAAATCAACAGAGACTTAAAGAGTGCTTTAGTTTGCTGCACTAAGCCTCGTAGAGGAATCTTCACCCCAACTGTTTGGCACCTCTCATTGTGTTTGAAGCACTTACACCACATTGCTGTGGAGCTATTGCTGAAAGTCAGTATCACAGACAACCAGAGGCTACAGCTAAATATTGGGGAGTTAATCAATTAAAGACATGTCAATAAAATTATAAAATTTTTATCTATAGGAGATAAGAGAGCTAACATCTAATGAGCTACTACTATGTCCCAGACCTAGTGTATATTGACAGCAAGTGAAGCACTAATTCTATGAGATAAGTATCATTATCTCTTTGATACAGAGGCAGAAACTGAAGTACAGAGAGGCTAAGCAAATGACTCTAGTAACACAGCCAGCAAGTAATATAGCTGGAATACAAAACCTCTTCTGTCTGTATCCAAAGTGTTTGCTTTTTCTACTTCACCCTGTGGCTCTTGAGAGAGGATAAGGATAAACTTGGGGTGGAGGTGACAATGAGACTTAAGAGGAGGTCAGCAGAATTGGAAGCTTCCAGAAAGAGTGGCCAGACCAGGAGAGAGGCTGAGAGAAAGCCAAGAAATAAGAGGGTCAGGAAGGGAGGAGGGTGGCCCCAGGGTCAAAATCTGCAGGAAGGTCTCAAATGCAGAAAACTCACAGCAGTCTGCGGAGAGTCCCTGCAGCCCTCAGCCACCTGTATCCCATTCTACCCCCTCCTCCCCATGGACTATGGTTTAAAGCTTTCAGTGACTCTGACAGAACTATCATTTCTATGCTTCTCTGCCAAGTGCACCTTTTATTAATAATGTTTCACAAAAGGGGCTGGTATGAAAATGCTCCTGAGTGTGGAAGAAGATGCTTTTGAACATAGATTTTAAGGGAATATCAAAGGAATGAGGTTCTTTTGATATGTTTTAATAGTTGTTAGCATAATTCAACTCAGGACAAAATACAATTTGACATAGGTGCAGTTCCATGGTATTGTGTGGGAAAACGATTTCATCCTTGCTTAACATGTATTATTGATAGGGAACTGCCAAATTTTTAACTTCCTTGGGGCAATTTAAACCGTCAAGCCTTTGCAAGTACCACCAAAATACGACGTATTAATTGTATGACCATGTCAGCAATTATGCCAAACATTTCTAGGGAATGAATTTTTGTTACATTCATTATTCTTGCTTTGACAACTGTGTCAACGGGCTTTCATCACTCTGAAATGCATTTAGGACAACAGAATAGGGTAATACATCATTGCTAAGGGCTACTTTTCCAATAACCAAGTAATTTTTTTTTTAACCAGCATACAATCAACTTAACCTATTAAATAATACTGGTCCAAAGTCAAAAGGTCAAGATAAGATTAAATGTTTTTTAAAAGTAGCCTTCAAAAAGATGAATGACATATAGGTGAAAAATGTAAGAAACCCGAAGGCCATAGTACAAATAATAGACCAATTACAATAAAAGTATTTCAATGATACATAACATAAAAAATTCAGTAACTCAGAAAATGGAATATTTGCCTTAGTCTCTCATGGAAAAATAAAATAACAAACTTCCTATCTGCCTCAAAGTAAATTGCTATTGATTGGCATAAATTTTTGCGAGATTTTTTTTTTTGGTTTTGTTTTGTTTTAAAATGTGAATATGTAACTTTTAATGGAACTGAAAATCTGTTATTGCAAACGCTATTAGGTAAAAAGTATCAGCAAGCAGAAATGCTCAAAATATCATCTGGTTTATTCTTTCTGGCTTAACTGTGAAGACATTAAAAATGCTTACTCTTTGGTTCTTGTGAGCTGATTTCTAAAAATTGGCCTCCTTAACCATACAGCAAAGGGCACATTACTTTGAAATATCAAGCATTTGTCCTCTTTGAGCCAAATTATATTTTCAACTGTGACAATTATTTCCTGTTTACACTCTTCAAAATAAGCATAGCAGAGAAATACTTTTCAGATCATCAATTTTGCAAACTTTACATGTAACAAGATATTTATATACCTGCACATTATGTATTTATGTAGCAGGCAAAATTGTTTTGCGCTTTTATCATTATGAAATTATAGTAATTTACAACCTTATTTTTGATCTTTGGTCATAACAAAACTTGATTAGTAGCAAAATCATAGACCAACTCCCAAACTCTTCTTTTTTTCTTAACTTCCTGCCTTTGACATCCTCCTTGGACCAAATTTGAGAGAAAAGGATAAACAAACAACCCTGTTAAAATTGGCATTTATCTTTGGTTTCTCCGGAGTATGCCTGTCATCCAGTAGCCTAATTCAGCTTGGCACGGCGAAAAGCCAAAATCATCTTGAAATCTGGTTCTCCTCATTACAGCAGCCTATGAAACA